TATTCACATTGGATGCTAATATTAAATCTAATGTAGCTTCCTTCCTTGTAGGTTCCATCACCAGTTGGTGTATAAAAGTATTTGAACAATTTCCAAAAGCCTATCTACTTCACTGTCAGACTCAAAATTTTTCCAATTAATACCCCTGAAATTAAAATTTCCCATAATAATATCTTTTTTTAGCTACTATTCTGATCTCATTATACAATTTCTCATTAACCTCCACATTCAGCTCTGGTGGTTTATAACAAGTCTCAATTACAAGACTTTTCCCTTTATATCCACTAACATTAACCCAGGCTGACTCAACCTCAGTGCTGTTTTCTTTAATATGCTCTAACTCAACAGGATGCAATTCACTCCTCATATATAAATCTACTCCTCCCTCTTTCTTTCAATACTCTATCTCTAGTAAATAATCTGTAGCTTGGTATTTCAAAAAATTTCTCTAATCAAAATTGTTCAAATTTAACCAAGTGTCAGTGATACTCATAACATTAAAATCCTGAGTTTTCACAACTGGTTTGAGCTCATCAATTTATTTCTAATACTTCTAGTATTATAATAGTAACAATTAATCATACATTTTAAAATATGTTCATGTTTTGTGCCTGTTGTACATGTTTCCCTGACAATTATATTTCCTATTTTACTAATATCATAGCTCTCACCTTTGTCTAGCCCAAGTTTAAATCTACCACTACTAGTATCCTTTTTGGGAAAAGAAAGGAATTGTTAAGACCCAAGATGGAAGAGTTCTGTGAAAGAATTATGAGAAATAAGTTTCATCTTTTTTTTTCTGTATGCTCCTCTGGAAAAGTCACTTACATACTTACTTAGATGCAAATTTGTTAAAATAGTGAAATTTTGATTCACTCCATAAACATGTATATAATTTTTAGGTGCTCCTAAATATAGACAAAGGAAATGGAGTTATCATTTTTTTATAGGTACAATAAGCTTTAGTTTTGTGCATCCAATATTGTGAAATAGTCATTGTTAATATTCAGACATTCTAAGGATCATGAACTTGTTAATTCTTTATACCTCATATATGTCTCAGAAAAAAAAATGTATAGTCACTGACAGAATGTTTGGTTTTGGGCAGATTACTGTGCATTGTATATTTTTTTCTGTCAGTTCCTTTTTTGAGTTAAATTCTCATTTTCTCATTGTATTCATTTCCTTCCATTGTTACTTGTATTCATGTTGTACTTTTTCTTTTCAATTTGGTTATTTACTGTGATTTACTTTATATAAATAAATAAATTTGTATATATATAAACCAAATAATTTATTAATTATTATTATTGTTTTTGTATGTTACTTCCCTTAGCTCGTTTTTTAGCCACATGCTATTTTGTCGTTTTTCTTACTCCATAACTATTCTGTTAATGGTTTAAGTCTCACTGGAAACCCAATAAATGGCTGTTGGCTGAAATGTTTTCATGTTTACCAATAAAATTATTTTAATTTGACAAGCTTTTCACAATTATTATATTTTTTTTACATTTTGTAATTTCCTCACCTATGCAGTTCTTCAATTACTCCATAACTGCTCATTCCATATGTTGATACATATATACGTTTTTGCAATATGGTACTTGCCTCCTCTCACAAGATTAGCTATTCTTGTTCATTGCAGCCTTCTATATGCAAACCTTTCTTTATGCATGCCACAAGCCTTGTGCTCCCCTCCATGTTGGAATTATTATATTCCAACATGCCTGTCATGCAATTCATCATCTGTCATCTCTTAACTAATAGTAGCATAATGTTACGTCTCCGTGTGTCAACCGACCTTCCGCAACCTCGCACCGACGAAACTCAAGCGACACAAGTCCCTACCCAACAAAACTGGTTTATTCCTTCCGAATACAACCTAACCGATACACTCAACTTCAACAATCGCGCCAAACAAACGCTATAGCAACGAACGTCAACAATACTCTGACCGCAGATCAATTACTCACTATCCACTCACACGCATTACATTACCTCTTTTATATACCAGCCTACCCTCTATCTAGTCAATACTAGAGCATTCGCCAAGATACGGGATAGTTCTAGAAACAAGAGAGCGTGAGAATTGTCACGTGATCTCGATGACGCAACAATAACATGTTCATGTGGTGCATGTGACTCCCTCTATACCCCTATACTGAACCTTCACTTTTTGTTTGGCAGTGTCTAAGTTCAGACATCATCTTTTTTTGTTCTTCATGCTCCCGTGTGAGGACAAAAATTTTTTATTTTTGCCCAATGTGTTTTTTTTTACATTACCTTTTATTTTATTTTCTAACTACCAGTTGTTCATTTTGTCGCTATATATTTTTGCAAAACACAACCATTATTTGAAAGCTAAATGGGTCAATCTTTGTCCTCTGACATTGCCCAGCCTCCTCCTGAATTGGTGGACATTATTTAAAATGACAAGGAATTTGATTGTCTTTTCCTGCCTCCAGAGTTTGCCATTTCTTCCCACTTGCAACCTGAGGATTAATCTAGGCCTAATTCAGTCTTCACCAATTTTGTGTCTTAGATTTGTTATGTTTTATGCCCTTTCCCTATGTCTTATTCATCTTGCCCTTCTTTGTTACAAGAAACCTCATAGAAATCCTGAGGGGGTCTGCAGATACCCTGCACCTTCTCTCCTCCACGTTAGTTCACATTTCATCCTCAGCTCTGGCATCAAATACGTGGTTTCTTTATTGTTGGGACCTTGTTGGCATGAGTGCTGTATTGGCTCAGGACAGTTTACCCTCAACATATCTATGGGACTTACATCTTGCTCCTTTTGTAAGATGTTATGTCTTTGGTACAGTCCCAGAAACCATTGAGCTTCGGGTTACGTCAGCCCATCAGCAATCTACCCTTTGTCGCCCGTTTGTCTCAGTCAGAGCTTCATATGTCACCTATTTCCATTTCTTGTCCTTCATCCTCCCAACCCTTACCTGTTCCTTCTAATTGGGGTACTTCTTTTCATTGATTTCCTTGATGATGTAACGTCCATTGCCACAATGCTGGTGACTACTCTGTGGGTTTGGGGCCAGTGGGAGCTTGATTGTTGGAGTTTCTTCCTTGCTGGCATTCCTTCATTGATGATCAGTGGGTGATATGGGCTCTGTCAGAGGGTTTTATTTTCCAGTTTCTTTCATTTCTTCCTGTTTCTCCTTACCTCATTTCCTTTCCTATTCCTCAAGATCCCATGCCATGTTAGCACCTGTCTGAGGTGGTTCAAGATTTGATTTTTGCAGTGGGCTATTAAACCAGTCCATCAACTTTCAGGGGTTTTTCTTCCTGTCTTTTCATGGTCCCTAATAAAATCTGAGATTGGCACCCAATTATTGATTTATTTCACCTCAACCACTTCATTGCACTCTTCAAGTTTACCATGGAGTTTTTTCACACCCTCAGATGGGTGTTTTCATCAGGATTGTGGATGTCTCCAATGCTTACCTCCACATCCAGTTAGCCCAGCAGTCTTGACCTTATCTTCCATTTGTCCATCTCAGGGTGGTTTACCAATTTTGGGCCCTTCCCTTCAAACTTGTGTTGGCTCCTTATGTGTTTTGTTCCATAGTCTGGGCACTTTCTCATCATCTTCATGCTCTGGGGATGCAATTTCATTATTACACGGATGACTGGCTCATTCTGGTTCATTTCAAATAGGAATTGGCCAGTTGTACCCGCCAATTTCTTTCTGTGGTTTCTAGGGTGGGCTGGTTAATCAAATTGGAGAAGTTGTTTTTTTGATCCACTCAATATCTTGTCCATCTGGAGGTCTTTTTTGACACCAATCTCAGTTGAGCTCTGCCTTCTCCTTTACATCTTTGGTCCATGGAACTTTCAGTTCACAATGCCCTTTCGTCTTGGTCACTTACTGCTCATGAAGTGCTATCACTTTTGGGGATGAGGTCCTCCATGACTGAACTTATCCCTCTCAGCTGTGCCCATGTGAGATTCCTGCACTTCACAAATGATGAAACCTTGCTCTGGATTCTCTTTCCTTCCCCATCTCCCTTCCTCCTTCCCTGAGAGATGATCTGCTCTGCTGACTGTACAAAGCTTGTACGTCAATGAGCATGCCACTTCCTCCCCCACATTCAGATCAAAATTTCATCACGGATGCATCCCTTCAAGGTTAGGGAGCATGTATCAATCACCAGGAAGCTTCGGGCCATTGGACTGCGGACGAAACTCTTGTCTCAAACTTTTAGCGATATGTTGGGTATTACATCACTTCATTGTTCTTGCCTGTCATTCTCTAGTGATGGTTCATTCGGACATCTCTATGGTGGTGGCACATATCATCCACCAAGGGGGCACCTGGTCCAAGGAGGCTACCTCCTGATTGAGTTCCATACATAAAACTTCAAACCATTCAGCTGAGAGTGGTGAGGTGGTGTTCTGCTGTTGTAGATGCAACATGCCCTCCAGAGGTCTTGAGGGTTGACGTGGCCTTCTGATTATGTTTACACAACAACACTGGAGTTGAGCCATTGCCTTACTGGATAATGAGACCCCCTACAAACATTTCCACAACCAAGGGAGTTGAGGCATCACCTTATGAGCTGATGTGGCCTCCCCCTTCCCCTCTTCTGATATTCGGATCTATATCTCTCATGGTCAGGGGTATCCTTTGGATGATTTTGGGGGCACTTCTTTTGTTCCCTCGCACCAGTCCTTCCTTTTGAACTTTGAAGTGAAGGTTTGGTAGAGGAGTATAGAGTGAGTCACATGCATTATGTAGAGCATGTCATGCTACTATTGGTTAAGAGATGGCACATGATGATTTGCATGAGTGACATATTTTAATATGATAATTCCAACAAGAGGGAGCACAAGACTTGTGGCATGCATAAAGTAAAGTTATGTAGAGGGCAAATACCAATTGGAAATACATTTTCAGTATAGGAAAATTAACTTTCCTCAGAAGTTTATTGTTAAAAGAATTATTTCTAAATTTAAACAACTAAATGTCATCCTTATATTTATAGAGCTAATGGATATCATGAAAAGAACCACTGTACAAGACATGGAGGAAGATAGTTGGGAATCACTGAACTTAAATGTTGAACTACTGTCAGCTATAAACCAATTTAATTTCAAGTATATGACACCAGTTCAGGTATAATTTTTGAATATATTCCAAATAATTTGTTTTACTAAAGAGTTTATCAAAAAAGTCGCATAATGTGTGTGTGTGTGTGTATATATATATATATATATATATATATGCACACACACATACATGATAGTAAAGTAAAAACGAAAACTAGTTAGGTACGGTTAACGAAAGTAAGTACGTTAGTAATAAGTAAAATTAAAA